AAAAAAACACATCATAGTAAAATTAATACCTTCTCAGCTTCGCATCGAAGCTAAAAAATTGAATATATTACCATAACTTTTGCTCAATTACAAGTTTAAAACTGACATCTAGGCCTGTCAACAAAGGAAAAATTGCGGNTGACATCTAGGCCTGTCAACAAAGGAAAAATTGCGGAAAAAATTCCCAACCAAATTTTGTTTTATTAATATTTGAATTAAAATATGTATAATGACATACTAATAGTCCTCATTGATTGAAATTGAGCATTTTTTTTACAGCCTCACAAAAGTTCAAAAATATGAGATTTTTTAATTTTCTCAAAAAATATTTTATTTACAAAAAAAATTTCGTACAAAAGTTATTTAAAAGATAATTATAAACAAAAAAATTATCTTATATTTTTTCATTTAAACAAACATTTTTCGAGTTACATTACATTTAATGTGAGTACTAAAATTTATATTCCATTTTTAGCTTCGATGCGAATATGAGAAGGTATTGGTTTTACTATATGTTTTTTTTTTTTTTTGTGTCTGTTACCACTTTTTCTCAGCTCTCACCGAACGGATTTCTTTCAACGATACGTCAAAAGATCACAAATTGTATCTAGTCGAAGACATTACCCTTCAAAATTGAAAAAATTTCCCTCGTTCCCTATAAATGGGGGAAACCTCCAAAAAAATTACACATTTAAAAATCGCTAATTTTCGAAATTTTTTCAATTTTTTTTACTAAAAACTGCCGTAACTTTTATATAGATGCTTGATGTCTTTACCTATTATTTGGTATATTTTTTTTGTAATTTTGACTTTTTTTCTGCCCATAGGGGGGATTTAAAATGACATTTTTTTCACAAAAAATTAACTTTTTCAACTTAACTTTTGAAAATGTTCCGGAAGGTCTGACACTTTTATATATATCTTAAATTAAAGCTAATGTAATATACTTTAATTTGAAAAAAAAAAATTTGACCTCTGGACTTGTCTTCACGGCGAAAATGGCTACCGAATGCTATTTTCGTGTGAAAATTCTCGATTTTATTATTTATATTATATTTAACTTTATAATGCTATAACTTATTGAAAAGTTTATGGATCCACACAATTTTTTTATGAGAAATAATATTTTTTAATAAACCCTTTTTCATTCGACATACTTTATCTTAATCGAGATATTAATAAGGAACCAGCAGATCAAGTAGCTTTTGGAATAAAACACCAATTTTTTTAAAATTAAACACTATCTAAAGATTTGCATCGAAGCGTTTATTTTTGATAGTGATTTTAATCACTGTCAGATATCATTATACTTGATCCAACTATACCACGTCACAACTGTGCCGCAACCCCCCTGTGCTGGGTTTTTTTCATATTACGGTTGCTTTTTATCATGTTATACATTAGACACAATGTTATAAATGCATATGTATGTATGTGTGAGTTTATTTATTTATTGTATCATTAAAGTGTAGTGTATATTAATATACAACCGATAGAGTAGATAATTGATTTGACGCTATATNGATAGAGTAGGTAATTGATTTGACGCTATATTATTTAAACCCAACTAAACGCTAAATTGTACATTCCGAAATAACAATCATATTATGTCAATTGCCACCGGAATATCTGGTAATATTTTTCTTTTTCTTTGCCTTAATCCCAACTACTTGGGGTCGGCCACCCTTATCCTAAGCTTCCACTTGACACGATCTCCCTCATCTTCTATGCTCACATCAACTGTCCTCATGTCGCATTCAATAACATCCCTCAATCTCTTTTTTGGTCTTCCTCTATCTCTTCTTCCTTCAACATTCATTTCTATAACTGTTCTTACAGCTTCCCATTCTTCTCTCCTCATAACATGACTAAACAATCTAAGTCTATTTTCTGTCATCTTATCCACGATTGACGCAACACCTATACTTCCTCTTATATGCTCGTTCCTTATCCTATCTTCTCTAGTCACTCCACTCATCCAACTAAGCATTCTCATCTCTGCTACACTTATTCTCTGCTCTACTTTCTTATCAACCGCCCAACACTATGAACCATACATCATAGCTGGCCTCACAATTTCATACTAAATTTAAAAACTATAATTAGTATTTATTCATATATTATATTTTAAAATCAAAGAACTACTAATCAGGATATAATTAAAGAAATAAGAGTTCATGTTGCTTTTAAAATATTTCACCAATTTCTCTAAAGGAAACACTATCTACAGATTTGCATCGAAGCGTTTCTTCTGTGCCTTGACCCCACTGTGATACCGTTTTTTTTTAAATGGGAACACATATTTTGAATTTAATAAAATGTTTGAGTTTTTAATTTGATAGCAAATGGCATTTGATTTTTTAATGAAACTTAATTTGTTTATTAGATATAAACATTTAAAGTTTCAAATTTTTGAGTTAATATATAGGTATAATACACTAGGGATTAAAAATACAGGTAGTTAATTGATGTTTTATGACATCGATATTAGCAGGTACACACAGGCACGTAGACAAGGGTGGGCCTGACCCCCTTAGAATTATTGTGACCCAGGCCCCCCCAAATTTAAAATTCAATTATTTTTATGAATTATCAAAAACGTGCTAGGCCTTATATACATTGAAATTATTATTAATTTGTGATTACTATTGAGTAATACAGTTATTATTATGGCTGTATTTTCATTTTTATATTCATAGAAAACGTTATTTGTTATATCTTTAATTTGTTTCTTTTTTTATAATTTAGTAGTTACAATAGGAAATTTATTTGTTTTTGTTAATTTGTTATTTGCGTGCTCTAAATAATAGTAATAAAAATATGACTAAATAAAGGCAGGAAATTTAAATTTTAAATAAAATAAATTTTACATTGTTTATAATTTATATTTCTTTTAAAATTTTTTTTAACTTATTTGTTATTAGTAATTAGGAATAAATTATTTTTTCTTAATAGCTTAAAAGTTGAAAAATTAAATCAGCTTATGTTCACATCATCATTTTATTAGCTTCGATGTAAAGCTGAGAAGGTATTATTTTTACTATGATGTGTTTTTTTTGTGTCTGTTACCACTTTTTCTCAGCTCTCACCGGACCGATTTCTTTCAACTATACGTCAAAAGATCACAAATTGTATCTAGTGAAAGATATTGCCCTTAACACATTACCCTCAAAAATTGAAAAAATTTCCCTCGTTCCCCGTAAATGGGGAAACCCCCCTAAAAAAATACAAATTAAAAAATTGCTAATTTTCGAAGTTTTTGAATTATTTTTACAAAAAACTGCCATACCTTTTTTAAAAATTAACATATCAATATAATTTTTTTTTATAGATGCTTGATATCTTTACCTATCATTTAGTATATTTTTTTTGTAAATTTAACCCTTTACCAGCCCACAGGGGGGGATTCAAAGTGACAAGTTTTTTATAAAAAATTTACTTTTTCAACTTAATTTTTGAGAGTGTTCCGGAAATACTGACACTTTTATATATATTTTAAATTAAAGCCAATGTAATATACTTTATTATGGAAAAAAAATTTCGGACTTTATTTTGTCTTCACGGTGAAAATGGCTACCGAATGCTATTTTTGTGTGAAAATTCTCGATTTTGTATTTTACATTTTTAACTTTATAATGCTATAACTTTTTGAAAAATGTATGGATCGGCACAATTTTTTTATGAGAAATAATATTTTTTAATAATCCCTTTTTCATTCGACATACTTTATCTTAATCAGGATATTAATAAGGAAAAAGCAGATTATGTAACTTTTGGAATAATCTACCAATTTTTTAAAAATAAACACAAATTTTGAACTTGTAAGATTTATAGAATGGGATACTGTCTCAGTAGGAGTGGAGGGACCCCCCTCACAAACTTTTCATAGGAAACATATTACGAAAAATGATACAAAATTGTTGGCCCCTCCAATAAACATTTTCTGGCTACGTGCCTGGGTACACAGCATTTTTATTATCAATTGGTAGTTAAGGCAAATTGTTGTGAGTTTATAAATACACTAACTGACAATACAAAAAGTATATCTATTGATAGTCATAATTTATAATGAACAATCCGTGACTGTGACAGCAATGTCATGAAAAACCAACTAGCTACCTGTATTTGTAATCCCTTGTATATTATACATGTATATTAACTCAAAAATTTGAAACTTTAAATGTTTATATCTAATAAACGAATGATGTTATATTAAAAATTCAAATGCCATTTGCTATTAAATTAAAAACTCAAACATTTTATTAAATTTAAAATATGTATTCTCATTTAAAAAAATTCAAGTTAATGTTTTTTAGCCTTGAAGGGATGAAAAATATCATGTTAATCAATAATCAAAAATTATTGTTTAACAATATACTTTATTTATTTAACCCTTAAACAGTTGCATGGGGGTCTAGCATACCCCCACATAAATAAAAACTGATGTATTATATTGCATAAAAGGTGTACATATACATAGATTTATAAGATGGTTTTTATAGTAATATTGAATTGATTTTCATAAATACCTTCGAAAAAAAAATGTATGACTTAAAATATTCATAAAAATTGAAATGGGCCTTATTTACCCCCACGCGACTTGTATTTTTTTCAAAATATCGTTTTATCGTAAATGCAATGTTATAATCGATATAATATTGTGGAATTGGAATTATGTGAATCTGCCACCGACTGTGCAATTATGTTTTAAAAATAAATAATCTATTTAGAATTTCCACTACTCGATGATACGGAACAAATAAGAACAAAACATGTAATAAATACATCGCATCGCAATGTAGACACATTGATTATCGGTAATCGATGTGCTACTACGAACGAATAATTGTATATACTCGTATCATAATAATTAAATGTATTGTAATATTAATAATAAAAAAATTCAATTCAGAAAAATGATTATTTAAATGTAAATACACATAAAACTAATAAATATAAGCCGTGTTTGAGCTCAAAGAAATACAAGAAAAATTAATTAAAATACATTTTGCAAAAGTAAAAGCTTTTGTTTACTGTCTTAAAAAAAAGATTTTGCAGTTAAAATAATTTTTTTACAAGCCAAAATTTTTTAATGAAATTTTGAAAATTAAGTTTTTTTTTTCGTAATATAATTTTTAGTAATGCACATAATTTTGTAATTTATTTATTATTTAATTTTAATTTTTGAATTTTTATCCATATTTATATATCATATGGTAACAAATAATGTCTTTAAATTAAAAAAAATGAACTTTTTTATACATATTATATACTTTTTTAGAAATGGGTCCGATAGACCCCCAAGCGACTATGAACGTTAAAAATAGGCACGCGCCTGCTAAAGGGTTAATGATAATTAAAAACTTAGAATGCTACAAATAGTTAAAAGAATTGGAGCACTTAACATTTATGCTACCTATCAGCATAATCGTCTGAGTCTAGCGTAGTTTCGCTGCGTATATTTATGATAAAAATAAAAATTGTAATACTAAAAATGAATACGGCGTGGCCTATGTGTATGTTATCAGTTATGAGTATTATCATTTGTTTTTCTAAATAATAAAAAGTAAATAAATAAATAAATTCATTATTAATTAATAAGACTTATAAATCATATAATATTTTCATAGAAAACTTCTTTAGAATTTATTAAGTTAATTTTTTGTTTATCTTATTAAGCATTTTATCAAATTTTTACTTTCATGTTTATATATACATAATATTTATCAGAAAAATCATGTTCATCTCCTAATTTTTTCCATTTAATGAAGAGTTACATTAGTTTTTTACCTATAAATTATTGATAATTGTTTTTGTCTAGTGAAATTTTTATTGTAGGAATAGATGATAAAAAAGTATTGAAATATGGATTTAAAGAAATTGTTTTTATCCAGATCACATGAAGGATATGTGGGAAAAGAAAATCATGTATGTTAGTTTAATTTAATATTTTATACATATGTGTAACACTACTGATATTTTATAATTTTATATACATTTAACCAATTCATATTAATTGTAGTTTATTTCAAATTAAATTTCCAATATAGAAACTTTGGTTAGATGTAATTGAAACATAATAGAAGTATGGATCAATTATAGTACTTTTTATATTTATTATAAGTTATCAAATTAAAATAATACCAAATATTAATTGTTTAAATTATTTATGAATTAAAATTTAATTAACAATTTTTATGTTGGTGTTATAGACTTGTATAGAGAGTGCTATTGAAACCGAAGACGAGGAAGAAACTGAATCATCAGTTTATACACAATTTATTAAACTAATTAGAGTTAATAATATGAATGATTGGGGTAGTAATATAAAGCTCACAAAAGGAAAATCATTTTCTGGTCTCACTCCTTCTATGTGGCCAGAAGACATACTTGATAGCTATATACAACATGATAATAAACTACCTTATCAACCTCTTAATCAACAATGGTAATAATAAAATATAATAACTAGTATATTATATAAATAAATATTTATTTATTTATAAGTAATATATCTGTGTTGGCTTAAGTACAGATTTAAATCTAATAATTAACTAAAATTTAAATGGCAATAAAACAAAAAGAATTAGAGAATATAATACAATACTAAAATGTCTAATTTTTTAACCTGAATTAATTTAACATTATCATAAAAGTAGTGTTGTAATATTTAATACTAGAAAATTTATGAATGTTGAAAATTTTTACTTAAGATTTTTAATTTAATGATTTTTAAATAATTTCATTTTAGGGGGGATAACCCCCTCAAATATAATCAAACTAATAACACACTAAGTTTTCCAATTAAAAAAAATTATACTGGCTGATGGTGTGTTTAGAATAACTACAAAATTTATAATTGCATATAATTCCTGGCCTTACAGATTATAAAAATAAATATTTTCAATAAAATTGATTCATAACATATGAGTTGTAACATTTTGACAAACAAACAAATATTTCCTCTACAAAAATCATAAAATTCTCAAAACAATTTAATTAAAAAATATATATATTTGTTGATTTAAAATTTAAATAATTTTGAGTATTTTTACAGACATATATTCACAAAGTCTATATCTAGAGTTATTAGTAGAAATACCATTTAAAAGTATTAAATAATATTATACATTATATAGTGTAAAAATTAATAGTAAATACAGCCTGGTTCACAATGTTTTGAAAAATTTAATAACTTAATCAAACCAATATTTTTTCCATTTTCTTTTTAATAATCGTTATACTTTGGAATTATAAAAATTTTATTATAACTAAGAGTTTTTTTATTTATTAAAAAAAATTATTTTTCAAACATTTAGGAAAAATGTAAAAAATATTTCAAGATAGCCATTTTATAAAGTAGATTTTATGGAAAAAATGTTTTTGTTCTTTCAAAATTTAATAATGAAATTTTGTTTTGAGTATTTAGTAATTAATTTGTATGTTTAATTAAACAAAATAATACCACACTCATTTTTTTAAAACAAAGCTCAAAATTTGCAGAGTGTACAAAACATTAGTAAGCCCATGAAAAATTCCCCCTTTACCTAAAATGACTAAATTATAATAGAGATTTATAATTATATACAGTATGATTTATTAAGAATGCTATAACTCCCTTATTTTTCCATCAAATAATGACTTTTTTTTAGCTTCGATGCGAAGCTGAGAAGGTATTAGTTTTACTAAGATGTGTTTATTTTTTTATTATTTTTTTTTTTTGTGTCTGTTACCACTTTTTCTCAGCTCTCACCGAACCGATTTCTTTCAACAATACGTCAAAAGATAACAAATCGTATCTAGTGGAAGACAATGCCTTTAAAAATTGAAAAAATTTTCCTCATTCCCTATAAACGGAAAAAGTCAAAAAAAATTACAATTTTAAAAATCAGTAAATTGTGACATTTTATCTTCAATTTTACTATGATGTGTTTTTAAAATTTTTTTTTTCTTTTTCCTGTTTGTTACCACTTTTTCTCAGCTCTCACCGAATGTTTTATAACTTCAAAAAAATTGATGTGGATCTCATATGATTTAAATTGTTTTCTGTAAATATTTAGTTTTTCTTATTCGTCGAAAATAAATAGTTTAATTATTTTTATAATAAATTTAAATTTGTGAAATCATGACGCGTCTATAAGTATCTACTACGCATGTTTATTTTATGTAGTATATAAACTATAGTTTAGCATCAGCTTTACTGTAAATACAACATAAGTGATTAAATTTTGAATATTTTAATTGATTATAAAAATAATTAAACTATTTATTTTTGACGAGTAAAAAAAACTAAATATTTATAGAAAACAAGTTAAATCATATGAGATCCACATCGATTTTTTTTGAAGTTATAAAACTATAAAAGAACTGATTTTAATTATAAGAATTCAATTTACAAAATTACATTATTTACACATTAAAATATTTAAGTTTTATAAGCCTGTTCTTATAGGAAGTCCATAACATCAGTTACTTGGTGTTAGATCTAGTTTGATAACATAGTGTGCGACTAAGAAAAACACGTTATTGTGGCAGATTTAAAGGGAAATTATTAAAATATAATGCTAAATACATCAACAAGATATATTTTTTGACCTTATGGCGTATCGTTGAACAATAACAGTCCAGAGGTACAGATATGAATAGATACAAGCAAAAAACACATCACATTAAAACTAATACCTTCTCAGTTTTCTATCGAAACTAAGAAAGTGTATGAAAATTATTTTTATATATACGTACCTCATCAGATTTTTTTTTTTTTTGGACGTCACTTATATAGGAATACAACAACAAAATTTGTTTCGTACTATGTAATGATAGGTTTGCAAATATGATAAAAGCAAATAATCAAATATCATATATACAGGTATAATATCAAGTATGCATTTGTAGCTATTTTTAGGCAGCCGGTATTGCCCTATGCAACTCTATGGACAATAAAATAGCTGTGGTGGATAACGCACATACGCGCGCAAGCATGTCAAATATAACAGCTACTGTTTGAAAACCATTAGTTTGAGCGTACAAAACAACCCGTTTTTGTTCCATCAGTACGACGAAATTACTGATGCGATAAGAATTCTGAAAACAAATTTGAATTCAGTATCATGTCTCTTAGGTATCGGTCCGGCCACTTTTTTAAAATTGTGATTCCTTCAACGTAAAAATTTATTTTGAAAATTTTAAAATTATTCGAAAATGTAAACTGTACTAAAGGGTTAAAAACATCAAAATTTCAAAAATATGGCCTGACCGATACCTAAGTGACATGATACTGAATTCAGATATGTTTTCAGAATTCTTATCGCATTTAATGTACATTTTTATGAAAAATTAGGGGGCAGTCATCTTTATAAATGACACTATACAACATAAGTGATTAAATTTTGAATATTTTTAAATTGTAATTATTTAGAGTATAATTATTTTATGCTGAAAAATATTAATTGACCTAATTTTAAAAATATTGAAAAATATTAAAACAATATCACATAAGAATGTTAGCTTACTTTACATAAACAGAATGTTTATAAAATAAAAAAATCAGTAAATTTTTATGAACAGTATGAATAATATGAATATTTTTACTTACGTTTGAATTCTCATTATATTTTAGGTTTGATGAATTTGGATTTCGTAATGACATTACTAATGAATATTTAGATGATGATGAATATGAAGATTCTCACCAACGGTAATTTATTTACAAAATTACTTATAACATTTATTAAATCAAATTTTATTTTGAAAACCATAAATTAATATAGAACATTATGGATCTCTTACTTGGAATCATACTATAAAAATAAAGTTATAGATAGTAAAAATAACTCTTTAAAGCCTTATACAAATAAATTAAGATTTATGGTTCGCCAAGGTATTCCACATTCATTGAGGCCTCAATTATGGATGATTTTTTCTGGTAATAATCAATAATAATAAACTGAATGAAACTTTAATTAAATGTTTGCTTGTATAAGGTGCCTTTTTAAAGAAACAAACTCATTCCATCTCCTATAAAGAAATAGTCCGCTCATCTAACAATGATACTTTAGTATCTTCTAAACAAATTGAAAAAGATCTTTTGCGTACTATGCCCAGTCACGTTTGTTTTAATAATTTTCGAAGCATAGGTATTCCCAGGTTAAGAAGAGTCTTGCGTTCATTGGCATGGTTGTATCCTGATATTGGGTATATATATGAGTTTAAGTCTATTATTTTAAATGAAATAATTCTAATATTTTATAAATATGTTAGTTATTGTCAAGGTACTAGTATGATTGTAGCCTCATTGTTACTAATCCTGGAAGAAGAAGAATCATTTTGGATGATGTGTACTATTGTGGAAGATTTACTACCAGCAATGTATTACACCACATCGTTGATAGGTAAATACAGGGTAATTCCTTAACTACACCTAATAAAATATCTTTGAAACTATTAGAGCTAAATATAATTTAATTCTTTTGAGAATGATAGTTCTTTATACGAAAAATTCATTCTCTGCTACCAATATTTTTAGGTTAAACCCATATCATCTTAGATTTTTATATAACAATTCTATTTTTTTTAATTGAATAAATGTGATAGTATTAAAAAAAATAGAATTGTTAAAATTGTATTAAAATCACTATCAAAAAAAACGCTTCGATGCAAATCTTTAGATAGTGTTTAATTTTAAAAAATTGGTGGATTATTCCAAAAGCTACATGATCTGCTAGTTCATTATTAATATCCTAATTAAGATAAAATATGTCGAATGAAAAAGGGATTATTAAAAAATATTATTTCTCATANCTAATTAAGATAAAGTATGTCGAATGAAAAAGGGATTATTAAAAAATATTATTTCTCATAAAAAAATAATGTTGATCCATACACTTTTCAATATGTCATAGCATTATAAAGTTAAAAATGTAAAAAATAAAATCGAGAATTTTCACACAAAAATAGCATTCGGTAGCCATTTTCACTGTGAAGATAAAATAAAGTCCGAAATTTTTTTTTTTCATGATAAAGTGTATTACATTAGCTTTTATTTAAGATATATATAAAGGTGTCAAACCTTCCGGAACTTTTTCAAAAATCAAGTTGAAAAAATTAATTTTTTGTGAAAAAGTTGTCATTTTAAATCCCCCCCTGTGGGCAATTAAAGGGTTACATAAAAAAAAAATATACCAAATGAAAGGTAATGATATCATGCATCTATATAAAAAAAAATTATATTGATTCGGTTATTTTTATAAAAGTTATAGCAATTTTAAGTAAAAAAAATTGAAAAAATTTTGAAAATTAGCGATTTTTAAATTTGTAATTTTACGGGGAACGAGGGAGTTTTTTTCAATTTTTGAGGGTAATGTCTTCGACTAGATACGATTTGTGATCTTTTGACATATCGTTAAAAGAAATCGGTTCGGTGAGAGCTGAGAAAAAGTGGTAACAGACACAAAAAAAAAA